TATAATATTAGTGGGTTATCCTCAGAAGTTATTGACTTGAACCTTTTACAGCTCATCATATTAATATGGCTTTACTTTATATACCTCGTTTTTATACTTTTCTGCTGGACGGTTGAGACCAAAATAAAGAAAGACCTATTTAACAAGAAATGTAACTTTTGTATCTGATAAGGTCAGTCAGGTACCCTCAGGCTTTATCCTGTAGCCCTGTACTGCACTTAATAGATCCTTTGTCAGTGTCAACTGTGAGGATGAGTCACAGCCATTGCTTGACCAATTTGCTCTCTGCAAAAGCCTGAGAGAATGTTTTTTCTCTCCATGTGACTCTCCCCAGGCACATTATACATCATCAATCACATTCCTCTGTGGCTCCATAATCTTCATGAACAGAAAATTTGGAGCACAACTGAGTTACATGTTGTTACAGTACAGGATCTCCTATGTCCCGAGTCTTCACTGACCTTGAAAGGCTAGGACCAAAATGTTGGCAGACCTTGCAGCCCTTCCTTTTCTCCAATTTTGAACTGCTAACTTAAGTTGTTAACCCTCCAGAAGAGAAGCTAATTATTAACCTGCAATATATGCAGTTCGGTTTATCCTATCTGTCTCAATAGCAAACATCTTTGGCATATCATGAAACAGGTATTTTCCATCAAATATTGATATGTTGAACTTTAAGTCCTTACAGAATATGAAGGAAAAATAATTTTATAAAAGTAGAAATAAGCATTTACATATTTTTACAAAGAAATTTAGAAATCTAACCATATACAGAATTGAAACAGGACAGACCTGTGACTTTTTTTTTTTATTCTTGTGTCTTTTTTTTGTTTCATTTATTACCCTTAAAAAAAAAAACCTTTACTTGAGAGACATTATGGCAATAAATGGTATGTCATGACAAGAAGTACATATTTAGAAGACGAGGATGGCAGGCACTCCAAGCGTGACCCCTCTATTACACATCACCTTCCTCAGTGCAGCCGCCTGACTCACGGGCACCAGCATATACAGTTAGGGTGAGAATCTCACCAGCCAACTGCTAGTCTCAAAAACCTGCTGATGTACCCAGGATCACTGCCCCACCCATCTCGTACGTACGAATGCATGGTTTTGCCCCTGTCATGTTGCCCAGCTTTTCTCCTTGCCCATTCCTCATTGTCCAATCCTCAAGTTCTTGCTTTCCTTTTATTTCTGTTGTAACTTTCTTTTTTTTTTTTGGCAGAACTGGGGATTGAACTCAGGCCCTTGCACTTGCCAGGGAAGTGCTTATTCCGCTGAACCATTTCCTCGGCCCCCTCTGTTGTAACTTTCTATAAGTAATTCCTCTTTTAAGTGCTTATACTAAGGAGACAATACGATATTTACAGATGTGGGTCTGGTTTTATTTCACTTATAAGTATATCTTCAAGTGGCATCCACTTAAATATGAAGGCTTCGAGTTTATCATTCTTTATAGCTGAGTAATACTCCATTACACAAAAATACCACATCTTTTTCAACCATTCCACATGTGACGGGCATCTTGGGTGTTTCCAAGATCTGGCTA